TTGCTTTGGCATACATGCCATTAAAAATGAGTGTAAAGATGTGACAAATCGTTACTTAGATGATAATGAAGAGAACACGGAGAATGCATAACAAATGAAGACAATTTCTGCTTGAAGATTGACATTATACTTTGTATTAGTTCGTTTGATATTCATTCCCTGGAAACCAACACAATTAAGAGGTTATGAAAAGCAGTGGTACGAGTATACCAAGGTTTAAATTTATTGCCGGTGACAGAAGTTGAGATAGAGCGAGGTAGGGCTGAGTACAAAGGATGTGATGCATCGGACAAGATAGAATCACACAGACGGTCACTCGCATTAAGATGTTGGCTGACAATGGAATCAACCAGCTCCTCATAAGATACGGCTTCATATATAGACATGCTTTTCAGAGAGCGACTAAATAATATGAAATCCGCAGACAGTGGACCGGGGATGATAACAACAAAGCATTGGTCCAGTGGCATTTTTACGCCACTGAACAGTGAAATTACTCCAAACAGAATCAACCTGAATGCTATCAACTCAAATAACTTTCCGATTTTAGCATAAATTCTGCTTCTGATAGTTTAATATTCATTCTTATCGCTCAGTTTCGGACACACCCCTGTATTCGTTTTATCATACAAATCATCTACAGTGTTTGGGCACTCTTTCCCGTCCCTGTCCCTTAGATCAAAATCAAACCTCCAGCCCGCACGGTTCAGCTGCGCTGTCCGTGTTTGATCGGCTCATATGCAGTCAGGATGNTGACCGCTCGATTGGATGTGAACGCACTTCTGTCGGATGCCAGTTTACTGGCAGTTCACCGGGTCACTGTGCACATACACGATCTGAATGACAACGGGCCGAAATTCGATCAGCTTCGCTGGCACCGTCGATTGAAGGAGATCCTCTACCGGAAAGGCCGTCGCTTAGAATTACCCAAAGCGCAAGATGCCGATCTACTGGCGGAGCACAGACGCATCCAGTATCGTCTACAGGCCAAAGATACCGATCTGGTCGGGTCTACGGTGAGTCCATTTCGTCTAGAAGTCACACCGAACGGTCAACCCATTCTCGTGCTTACCGAGGATTTGGACGCGGAGACCAAACGACGTCATCAGCTAGTTCTGGTCGCGTACAGTCCGTCCCCGATCCGCATCTCATCCCCGCTGATCACACAGAAACTGACATCGGTCTCGAAAATGACCAAATTCGCAACGAGCACAAACAATCCGAGTGAAGCACGTTTGGAAATTGATGTCGAAGTGGCCGATATGAATGACAATGAACCGCGGTTCGACTCGACCAACTACAACACAAGTGTCCGAGAGGATGCGTCGTTGGATTCGGTAATCTATCAAGTGAGTGAAGGATTCTGCACGGACTTGATGTAAGAATGTGATTTTCGCACTTGTGTTTGCTTCCTTGTCCTAACTGAACAAAGTGGCTCGTATTGGTCATGTCTTGACCAGTTGAAACAAGTATACAATAGATTCTAAACAATTCTGGTCAGATTTTTAGTTTAATTGATCTGTATATCTCGTGGTCTCGCACCGTGCATCCACTATGCCCAAACAGGGAATAACGATAAAATGATGAGAGCACTTTGGGTTTCATACCACTCAGTTTGATGCCATGTGCTCTGACTCAATCGACAGAACAACTGCTCAAATGATTAACAGACAAAGCTTCCATTCCGATAGGACACGTGGTTTCCGTATGCAGCATAAACCCTTGCGGGCATTTGCTGAAGCTTTTTTCTGTACGACACATGCGCACATACACAATATCAGGCAATCGGGGGGTCAAAATGTATTCCATGATTCACCATCACTACTGATCGCAAGGGTTTTTTTTTCTAGTGGTAGATAGCCAGTGGTAGGTAGGTAGTTCGGTTTAGATAGTACATGAAGAAGGTTTGATGTCACAGTGAAAAAATTGCTGGAATTAAGTGTTACCACCAAGATCTAAACACCATTCAATTCATCGCGTATTGATTGTAATCATTGTACCTAAATAAAAAGTACTCGATATGCATACAGGAAAAAACCCAACAATTGCGAAGCCGATCACATGCAATTGGGAAAAGCTCACATCGTTTTTCGGATCCTGCTCTTTCTAAAAGCTTCTCCAAAATCAAGCAACGTTTCTTAATCCCCGAAGACTAGATAAGGAACGATAGCCGTTGCATCATGATATTAATTCCAAAAGTTAACTTACAGATATGAGCACAAGGCTCTTTTTAGATGGGGGGGAGGGGCTTAGTATTTGAACGGTATAGAAGAGAATATTTGGTACACAGGAGTTTGGGAAGATATCATATATAGGCAAAATGAGAAGTGGTCTCATTAGCTGTTCGGTAGCCACGTAGGTAGCATACTCGCATTCTACCTGTGTGGTAGATGAATTCTCACCGCTGAGAAACCTATCTAGGTAGAAACGGCCTCACTGTCGGTTCTGGCATGCCAGTTCGCGTGTCGTTTGTCCTTTACACGACGACATTCACTGTGACATGATTGATTGTAGACAGCTTACACTCACTCACATGATTTCACACGGGACGGGGTGTGGTGAACCATTTCACTGAACAATGTTGTCTAATAAACAATACCTATGATTTCATGCAGAGTGACTAAATCTCAACACTTGTGAACAGTAATGTTTTCCCTGAATACTTTAAATGGCAAAGTTTTTCTCCAGCTGCTCATTCGATATCTACGTTTTGGAGACCATTTATTTCCTTCTCCAGTATTTCATCTACTACTAAATTCAGCAGGAATGGCGAAAGAGAGCACCATTGACGAACGCCACTGCTGGTGATGAACGGCCTATTTAGTTTCTTGTCAACCCTCATTCGACCAGAGGTCTGCGAGTAGAGTGACCTCAGTAAGTTAACATACTTTTGGGGCATTCCTTTTCGAAGAAAGTTGTCCATCAGAGTTTCGCGGTCAACTGAGTCGAAGGCTCTTTTCAGGTCAAGAAACATTGCGATCGTGGGCCGACGGTAGGTGTGACGCAGCTCAGGGACCTGACGAAACGTAAAATTTGATTAATACATTCACGGCCAGGCCGGAATCCGGCTTGCTGTTAACGGATGTTGGTCTCCCTTAAAGCCGTCAGACATGAAAGTATAACCGAAGTTGGCACTTTGGTGACGATCGGTATCAAACTGATCCCGCGGTGGTTTTCGCAATCGTTGCGAGATCCTTTCTTAAAAATGGGAACGATCAGTGATTCGCCCCAAGATGAAGGAATGTGTTCTTACGTCCAAGTGTTGCTCAGTGAAGTAGTAATAAAGCGTTCGAGGTCATCACCCCCGTCTTGAAGAGCGTGGAAGGGAGCTCATCCGGTCCTGCTACCCTTCCTCGTTTCGGAGCTTGGATGGAAGACCAAACTTCTGCTTCTGCTGGAGGATCGCGTGACACTGCCCACGGAGCTTCAGTTGGAGATGAAGCAACCTGGTTAGCATTAGGCCAGCTGAACTGTTCATGGAAGTATTCTGCCCAGCAATCGAGTCGTTGATCCCTATTGAGAATAGCTTGTTTCCTCTTATCGCTGACTATTTCACTAACTGAGGTTCGCCGACCTCCCGTATTGTGCATCAGTCGGAACAGTCTTTTACTAATCCCTGATGCAGCTGCCACTTCCCTTTCACTAGTTATTGTTCCCATCAGGCTTCAAGGTCTCTCTTGAGGCTTTTCGTGAGCTGACGCTGCAGATGCCACCTAACTGTATTTTGATCCTGGCAGGTCGGGATTTGTCGTTTTTCTCCATCAGGGATTCGTGTGATATTCAATGCCTCGCTCAGGCTTGAGGCTCAAACTCACAAGCAACATTCGCTGCTGAATGTATTGCTCGTCTAATCTGATTCCACTGCTCATCTACATCATCAGTTTGAGGCACCTTAGTCCACGCACCAGCTCTGATACATAGAATGCACGAACTGCCACAACAGACAGTCGATCATCAGGTATCCGAGTTTGCTAGTTTTGTCGTCGACCAGTCGGTCGGAGAGTGAACTGCATTAAGACTAATGCGTAGTCAGACTCAACGCAGGGGGTCCAATAGGACCTGCAAATTTGCACTGAGCCACACCAACGGCAGCTTACCACTGTGTGGTCGATTTGAGTTAGCGAATGGGTTGAACTGGAGCGCCACGTTGCCGCCCGTCGACAGCTGTGTCGGAAGTTGTTACTGGATAAGAACAGATAATGGTCTGCGCAGAACTGAAGAAGTCGGTCACTGTTATCCGTTCGTTGGCTGGGCGGAACACAACTACCATCTAGGCAAGCTTCTGATGCGCTCAGTCTTCCAACCTGCGCGTTAAAGTCACCTGGAAGTACATCTATGTCAGAACTTCAACTCATCCGAATGAGATCGGCGAGTTTAATATAGAAAGTGTCCTTTTGTGTACTACTACTACTATTGGTGTTGCTTCCCTTCCGGACGCTGACTGAACCCTGGAGATAAACTGTACATAAACGACTGCAGACGGGGATCCAATCGATCAGAGAGAACTCCGCCCTGTTACTGAATACAATACCTACCCCTTGCTGACCTACCGAACGCACTTCATCATTGCCTAATGTGCGAAGAACGTACCTCGATGACAAATCTGGCGCGGTCAAGTGGCTTATATTAGTAGGATCCTGGATTCGAGTCTCCGACAAGCAGCAAATATACATCCCTAAGGATTCCACTGTATGCGCCAGACAAGCTTGTTGACCTACCCGCATCAGAGTCCTCACGTTGAAGGCCCCCATATTCAGTAATTGGCTAGGTTTTAGAATATGCAATCCATTTCATTGTACATTACTTACAGTTCTATTTGGCAACGATCTTTGTTGAGTGACATCCAAGTTGCTTGAGAGGAATATGGAGAGGGCTGGGAACAGAAGACAAATAATTAAACAAAGGTCGATAAACAGTAGTATCACTTTGCTCTACCTAGAGAATATCCATTGAGAGGACAAATGCTTACCACCCACGACTAGTGTATTTAGGGAAATTGAATCTGGCAGGAAAACCGGAACAAATCCGAGAGGTTCAATCACAAAGTGAACAGAATGATAGTAGCGTTCAAGAGTCACCTGTGTTGATGAAGTTGTATACTGCAGTCTCCCTCTCTTCTTCATCGACCCGGTGCATTGATAAGGCAAATGATATTTGAAGTCGTAATCTAGTCGTTTCTCATATTAACACGGACGCTATCATCAGTAGTCGAAGTTGGAAGAAAATCTGACAGGACAACATTGCCACAAATAGTTTCGCGTTCGTAGCGTATGTCTGTCTGATCGTTTCGTGTCAACAGAAGTACTCCATTAGCCAATGATGTCAAATAGGAATTTTATGCACGCAGGCCACTATTCTGTAGTCCATCTTCGTGTTGAACGACATGGCCAATTATGGGATACAGGTAAGTGAAAAAGTCAGATGATGTTGGTGCGGTTGGGAACACCGGAACACTTGATCACCGGAACAGCGCGATTGTGACCAGAACATTGTTTGACCATCGGGGTTCAGATCGAAGCTTCGACTACAGCTACATGTTGAAGCCTTTTGCTGCCAGTCAGATGGGGGGGGGCAACCAAAGGAACACATTCACCTCACACAGTGCCCTTGTATTTAACAGGAACGTGCCTGAAGACTGGAATATTCCGAGAGAGAGAAACAAATAATACTTTCACCAGAATCAAAAGTTTACTCTGTTCAGTGGATTAAGAAATCTGAGTGATGAAAATGTGTCCTGTTACTGCTTAGATTAAGTGAGGAATGTTACAGATATACGCAAACATCCTACTCACGACATGTAGAGACATGTGTTGGATTTTTGCACATGTGAAGTTTCATTACTTTTCAAGACATCTAGTTCCCCTTTTATTGTTCGGGAAACACATTATACCACTGACTTATGAATCACCAAATCGCTTAGCATATCAGAGTAGCTGGTGAATTTCGGACTGCATTAATTGCCATGCGCAGAGGAGATTTAAGATGGGTCTACGCTCGGAAACCCTTCCAATTTCCCAAACGGTAGATATGCTGCACGCATGATAATACAAACATTTTCTTAGATGAGAGGAACAGAAGATTTGATTTGATTACACGATAGATTCGTGGTGTAAATGAAGCGGGAGCTGAAAAGTCGGGAAGCACTGATTGGATCTAATCATCATTTTCATTTGGTCAACGACTTGTGGCCGAATCATTATTAAAAAGTTTCTAACAATCGCTTCACTACACTTCATTATTGTAGCCAATATTAAAGGGGTGAAAGAGACGGTGGACAATATCGTTGGTGAGTGAAAGATTGCTAGCAGTTTGGTGATTTCCGAAGCTGATTGAAAATTACAAGGTGTAT